GCCGCGCCCACAGCCGCGCCCACAGCCGCGCCCACAGCCGCGCCCACCCCAGCCCTGGCTAGGCTGCGGGTCTACTTCGAAGTCTCCTCTCCTCGCTCTTGCACTCCCGTGTGTGGACGGGAACTCGCTGCCGCTGTTCACGTTCCTCTGCTTACTTCTGGTTGTGACCATCTTTGCTGTGGCCTCTTTGAGGCTCCGTTGTTCTTGTTCTGGTGCTCTCTGGCTTGCATCCTTTGCCCGTTTTTGTTTTTTTTTTTTGTTTTTTGCCTTAGTGCTTCCGTGGAAAGCTGAGGGCTGGGGTTCCCTCTGCCGTCTTGCTGGCACCATTGCCCAGCGGGGCGTCATTTCTGTCTTGTTGGTTTGCTGCCAAACCACGGGGTTCCCTGTGCTGCTGACTCTGTCGCCAAGAGTCCGGGGAAGACAGGTTTCTCACAGGGCAACGTGGCGGGGGGAGACAAGCGTGACGCCGAGCGCTGCCCACGGAGTCTCACCATTCCTGCCCCCTGTCAGGAGCCAGCTCCGCCCCATCCTGTGGGCATCCAGCCCTCCGGATACTGTCTGTGGTCGCTACAGAGTCCCACAGACTCGAGTTTTCTTTGGACTTTTATCATTTTCCATGCAGTGTGAAGGGAGGAGGCTGAGATCCCTCCTAGCTTGTATCTTTATACTGAGTAGTCTGTCTGTCTGTCCTTTCTTTTTTCCCCCTTTTTTTTTTGGATAGGGTTTTATTATGTAGTCCTATAGGCTCCTATAGGCTGTCCTGGAACTCTCTACGTTTCCTGGCAGGCCTTGAGATCCACCTGCCTCTGCCTCTCGAACACTGGGATCAAAGCCGTGCACCTCCACGCCTGGCTGGAAGCCCCTCCTTAATGATGTTTATCTATAGAGAGTAGCGCTCAGTTTTAAAACTCTATTCAGGGTGTTTGGGCTTCTCCCTCCCTTCCACCAACCCCCAACACTAAGTAGAAGAGAGTGATGGGTAGTGGGGAGAGAGATACAGACTCCTTTAATTCTCAGGGCTGTTGGGGTCAAGGGATCCTTCTAGAGCTCTGTACCAATCTCCATCAACAGCAGAGGCAGCTGCGCCCTGAAGCGTTTCTCTCCGTCTGTCTGCTCCAAACCGCCACACCGTCCGTCTCTCTGGTCCCTCCACACTGCTACTCACCACAGGCCACCCCTTCTCTTCCTGGGCTATTTATATCCTCAGGGCCCCAGACAACACACCTCTCCATGCCGCATGTGGAAGGCAGTTACCAGCTGACAAAAGCCACGCTCTGCACAAGACAAACTATAACGGACAAAGCGGAGCCCCACCGAAATCCCACACGTGGGATTCAAACAAAAACATACTTACACAACATAACTGAGTTTTTAAAGACCAAGACTTCCATTACATCACATCTTCCTCGTTGACTTGCTGGAAACATTATTACTCCAACACTTATTTGTTTAGTTCCTCGCCCATCAAAGGCTACACGCTGGCCACCGACTGCACGAGGATAAGCGTGTTCCCTGGCACCAGGGTTAGAGCACAGCATGACAGTGATATGGTAACATTGTCATGGGAGAGCGTGTGCCTGGCATAGAGCCTGAGGACGGGACCGTGAGGCTTCAGCGGCTGAGAACCTGGGCTCAGAAGTCATGCACAATGAGAAGGGCGAAGGCGGGTCAGAACCTGAGGCTGATGGGGACTGTGTCTCTTGAGGCAGGTGATGATATTTCTGAAAAGAACATGGCCTTGGGAGGATGCCCGGAGCTTGTCTCTGCCTCCAACTTCAGCTGCTACGCAGCCCTGGCTGGCCTGGAGCGCTCTGTTACCTGGCTGGCTTTGAACCCACAGAGGGCTCTGCCCCTCTCACTAACTTGCTGACCTTCAAGTGCTCAGCCTAAACTATCACGCCAACAAGTTAATGGTAACGAGCAGGTGCTGTGGTGTTAGCACCAGCCTGGACGCCCGGTCCTGGGCTCCACAGCTCTGGGCTCCCGCCTGAACACTTTGCTGCCCGCTTCCAGAGAACGCCCAGGAATGATTTTCCCAGCTTCTGAGCTGGGAGACCAAGGATCGATGGATGTCTGGGGCCCACCTGTTCAGCCCCTAACACGGAATCTTTTTTAAAAAATCAGTTTCAGTAACATATAACTGTACATCTTTACGAGAGTGACGTGGCCTTTGGGTGTGCATGCGTGCGGCTGAGTCAGGAACTCACCACCCATCACACAAACAACCGTGGCTTCTCCGGGCTGGGAGCTCGCAACACCCTTCCCACCAGCGGCTCTGAGACAAGCGGTGGGGTGCTGTCGCATGGCTAGCCCACACCGTCTCCACCATCGCTGGCCGCCACACGCTCTCCACACCTGCTCTTCCCAGACCCTCAGCATTCCGCTCCCCGTAACCACCACATCGATCGACTTAGCTTCTGCACGTGAGAGCTTGCGGCGTTGTCTTTCTATGTGAGACTTCCTCCATCTAACAACGTCCTTCGGCTCGTCCACGCTGCCTCCCATGGCCGGATTTCATTCGTTATTTCTGGCTGAGTCCATCCCACCCGATGGATGCTTCAGCGCTCTTTGTCTGCATGTGGCATGTGTGTATACACGTGTGTGTCTGTGGGCATGCGTGTGAGAGGTGCATGTGGAGGCCAGAGCCTCTTCCTCCTTCACGCTCCATCTCATTTTTATTATTCAAAGATCATCATTTTTAATTGTGTGTGTGCGCTCGCGTGTGTGTGAGGCCAGGTGCCCACCGAGACTAGAGGCATCAGCTGCCCCTGGAGCTGCAGTAAGCCTTTGTGAGCAGCCTCCTGTGGGTACCGGCTCACAGACTCTGGTCCTCCTGCGAGCACTGTGGGAGCTGTTTCCCAGCCTGCCTCCACGTTGGTTTTGTTTTTTGTGTTTTTTGTTTGTTTGTTCGTTTGTTTGAGATGGGCTCTCTCGTTGACCTGTGGCTCACCTTTGGCTAAACCGGCTGACCATCCTGACCATCGGGTTTCCTGGATCGGCCTGTCTCTGCCCTCCCAGGGCTGAGGGGAGCACCGTGGGCCACCGTGCCTGGCTTTTCATGTGTGCTGGGAATCCAAACTCAGGTCCTCCCATGTGCGGCAAGCACTTTACACGGAGCCCCCTCCCCAGGACCAGAAATCTTTGTCACAGACTCCACAGGAACCAAGGACCCAGGAAGATTTCTCAGATGTGGGCAAGCTTGAAAACCGCTTATTTCAGCATCTTTGGCAAACGCCTTCCGAAAGCTTGAGGAAAGTTCTCTTCATCTGGATAGACAGTTACCCGTTTTTGTTTTTCAGACAAAGTCTCTGATGCAGCCCTGGCTGTCCTAGAACTCACTCTGTAGACCAGGCTGGCACCAAACTCTGAGACCACCTGCCTCTGCCTCCCGAGTGCTGGGACTAAAGGCGTGGCCACCGCCTGGCGTCCCTCTCTTTACTGCGTTCATTGAGCTCTTCCAGCTCCAGCCCCTGGCAGAATCACCAAGAGGCAGAAGCTTGGGGAATGTGCACACCAGTCGGCCTCTGGCCAGCGTGGAAGGGGTGTTTGGGGACCAGAGGGGACCAGAGAGACCTCGAGCGCCCTCTGCCTGCCCCAGTTGTGGGAGCTGCCTGTATAGTCTTTTCAGGGGAAGCATCTTCAGCCGTGATGCACTCTTTCAAGCAAGATAAAATAAAATAGTGCATTTGAGAATGATTAACAGACATAAGGATTTTTATCCTGTGGTTTATTTTATCCGCTGAATTCCCTTTAAACGCTCTTAGTGTGATTTATTTCATATTTTACCCCAAATTTGTCCAGAAGAACCTACAGGGAAAATCAGGTTCCATCTGGGCCAGATGGAGGCTTTGTCCCAGCGCAGCCATTTGCGCATAGCACAACTCCGGGGCTTCTCTGCTCCTCTCCTGAAGCTCCTTCTTGAAGGAGAAGGGACAGGTGGCTCGGGACCTCCCTCCTCCACCTTCTCACCCAGGCTCTTTGCTTTCTTACCCAGCAACAGCCTCGTTGTCTCTGGAGAGCTGCTCTGATTGGTTGCTCACAGCAAGGGTCTTTCCCTAGCCTAAACTTCGTTTCTCTTACCTCCATCTTGCTCTCTTGCTCCCCAAGCAGACCCTGTTAGACCCCCCCATCCCGGCAATGGCCCTCTTTGTGGAGCTGGTCCTGGCAGCCCTCACCCTGATGATCTTCCCGTGTCCCCTGGGAGTATGGGCCAGCAAGGGTAAGTGCAGGGGACACCTGGGTGGGCGGAGACAGGGAGGGCGCACGGTGGGGGGGGATGTCTGTCTCTGTGTGTAAGCAACCCCTCCACCTGCATATAACCCCTGCCACCCTGTGGCCTCCTCTCTGGCTCTACCTACCTGCTGAGGCAGGGGCCCCTCTGGGCTCCTTTCCTGTTCAGAGCCCTTCGCCCCTTCCTCTTTTCTGAGGCCCGTGGCCTCACCCGCCTCACAGCACCCTCCCTCCTCTTCCTGGCTTGCAACAGGCCATTCCTGCCCAGCTTCATTGCAGCACATAAACCTCGATGCTTATGCGTGACCTCCCGGCCCCACACCAAAGGCTTTGGCTTCCTCCATTTGGCATCGTGCTGGGCACATGCCAGTCCCTCACATCCAGGTTATAAGTGTAGAGCTCTGAGAGGGCCAGCTGAAATGTCGCCCCAAACATCCGGGAGACTGGGCCCTCTCGCGGGAGAACCACTGAGCCATCACTCTCGCTGTTGGCGCCACTTTCCACAACTATTTTATTTACGTTTCTTAAGCCTCTACCTCCCTCCCTCACCCCAATCCCTTCAGATGCCAGGTAGGAGAGAAAGAAGGTTAGTGGGGCGAGGGAGCATAGTTCTCTTTAGCTACTTCCTACTGGTTAGGGTCCTAGAGTTCACTGGGGCAAGTCCAGTCTTTGTTTTAGGAGATCTCAGCTTCTTCTCATCCAACCGCATCAACAGCAGAAGCAGCAGGGGGGAGCAGGAGCAGCCCTCTTCTGTCTCAGAGCCCCCCAACTCTCTCTGGGCTCTGACATTTATTCCCTCCCAGAGCCCTCAGAATTAAAGCACCCGCTGCTGGCAAAGAGCCCCTCTCGGGGAGACCACACGAGGCAGACAGTCTGCTGCTGTGGACAGTCTGAATCAGCCCCGCATCCCACACCTGGGATTCAAACAAACTGTCCCGCAAACAGCCCAGGCTGAGGCCAGGCTGAGACTCAGCAGGCACGTACCCTGAGTGAGATGTGTTCTTCTCCTTCATCCGCCCTCACCCCATGCAGCAGACCACATGGGCTCCTATGGGCCAGCCTTCTACCAGTCTTACGACGCTTCTGGACAGTTCACACACGAATTCGACGGGGAACAAATCTTCTCTGTGGATCTGAAGAACAGGGAGGTGGCGTGGCGTCTGCCCGAGTTTGCCAACTTCCCGCGCTCCGACTTTCAGAGCGGGCTGGCCAGCATTGCCATGCTCGGAGCTCACCTGGACATCCTGGTGGAGCGGTCTAACCGAAGCAGAGCCATGAGCGGTACCGGCCATCATCGGCCCCACCCAACTAGGCAGGGAAGGGGGCTGGAAGGTTCCCAGCCCATCCCAGAGTCCTCCCTCCCCTCCTGCCCCTGTAGGCACATCCCAGAACGCCCCGGAAGGTGGCCACGTGGGAGGAGGTGTCCTTTGATGTTGGCCCTAGGAAGGCCCATCTGTAAGGGATGGGACTTTTCAGAGCCTCCTTCCTCTTAGTGCCTCCCAGGGTGACCGTACTCCCCAAGTCTCCCGTGGAGCTGGGAAAGCCCAACGTCCTCATCTGCATCGTGGCTGACATCTTCCCCCCTGCGATCAATATCACCTGGCTGCGTAACAGCCAGCCCGTCACTAGGGGCACGGCCCAGACCAGCTTCTACTCCCAGCCTAACCACAGGTTCCGGAAGTTCCACTACCTGACCTTCGTGCCCTCGGCTGAGGACGTGTACGACTGCAGGGTGGAGCACTGGGGCCTGGACGCTCCGCTCCTCCAGCACTGGGGTATGGGCCCCTGGTCCTAGCCTGTTCCTGTCCAAGTCCCCAAGGCGCCGGATCCCTTCCGGTGGTGGCCTCTGATCCTCGCCTCCTCTCCCAGAGCCCCAGGTGCCGACTCCACCGCCGGACACCGTGGAGACCCTGGTCTTTGGCCTGGGCCTGGCTCTTGGCTTCGTGGGCTTCCTCCTGGGCATCACGCTTATCATCACAGGCACGTGCCTGCTCAGGATGCTCGTGCAGAGCCCCGGGAGTCTGGGGAGAAGGGGGAAAAGCACGGGAGTAGGGGAACGGGAATCAGATTGGGCGAGAGCAGAAGGGAGGGGAGCGGACGGGAGGGGAGTGGGAGGAAGCAGAAGGGAGGAGAGCGGACGGGAGGGGAGAGAAAGGCAGGGAGTTGGAGAAGCAGGTCAATGGATTCGAACGGCCCTGGTCACCTGGGTTTCCCACTTTAGGTAACTTCTGAGAGAAAGCCGGGAGAGATGCTCTGTGCATTCCGGGGCTTCTGGGAGCTCCCTCATGCTCAGCAGCAGCCTGCTACAGTGCTGACCTCCAGCGGCATCACATCAAGCTCCGTTCTACAAGACCCTCCTTTTCTGACTCCCAAACTCCCAGCAGAACTGTGGGGCACAGTCAGCTGTCCACCTGCCCCAGCGCGCTCCGCTGGGGACTCCCGGTCCAGCCACACCTCAGGCAGCCCCACTAAATTCTCTTAACGGTGGTTGACTGGTTGACGTGTGTCCTTTTCATGGGGTCCGCACCTACAGCTGAGGGAGGCCTGGGGTGGGGAGTTCTGGGTGGCGACCACCCAGCTGGCCACGTTAGTGAGTGCTGTTCGCCAGCCCACCCGGTCTTGTTTGGCCTGTAGTGTGATACTTTGTCCGGGAGCCATTTCACAGTTGAAGGAAATGGGTACAGAAGGAAATGGGTATCCAGTGGCTGTAACTTCCAGCCAATGACAGCTTTGCTGGGCCTGGGAGGTGAGAGCCCGCGGGGGTTCTGCTCTTACCGGAGCACCTCCTCCCTTTTGGACAGTCCCTGGCTACTTGCTTCCGTGGTGTCAGTCATGTTAGGCAGGAAGAGACGGCTCAGTGGTTAGAGCACTGGCTGTGCTTGCAGAGGACCCGGGTTTGGTTCACAGCACCCGCATGCCGGTTCACAACCGTCTGTGACTCCATTTCCAGAGGGTTCAGTGTTCCTTTCTGCCGCCACGCCCACCAGGCACCAGGCACACCTCTGGGGCACAGACGTACATGCAGGCAAAATACTGATGCATATCAAATCAAAACAGCAAGTAAATCTTATAAGAAAAAAGACAGGGTTTCCGAGTGATCCACCATCTAACCCTGTGGGCCAGAAGACTTTAAACCCTGAGGAGCCTCCTGGGATCTCAGGGCTGGGAAAGCAGTGACGGGACCCTGTAGTTAGCACACTCCAGTTGATCCTGACGTCACTCCCTCAGTGCTAGGGCGAGGTGTGGGAATCCTGACATAGCTGCTGTCTGAAGCCATTGGTGGGGGGAGAGGGGGACCCCGAGGTGTGGGAATCCTACTGGAGGCCATTGGTGGGGGAACCCTGAGGTCTGAGTTGGACCAAAGTCTTTCTGGAGAAGCTGGGCGTGTCTGGCAGAACATCAAAGTTGACCAAGACAGAAACAGAACCCAAACTGGCAACTGGCAATTTGGTCCTGGGAAGAAAGGGCTTGATAAAAACTTCAACACCTTCGCAGAAGAGAGAAAACTGGAAAAAGTCAACCAAAAAAAAAAAAAAAAATTGAGGAAATGGAGAAAGTTGTCTTTTGAGGGGAAGGGGTTTGAGACAGGGTTTCTCTGTGTAGCCCTGGCTGTCCTGGAACTACTCTGTAGACCAGGCTGTCCTTGAGCTTACAGAGATCCACCTGCCTCTGCCTCCTGAGTACTGGGGTTAAAGGCATGCACCGCCATGACCTTCCTAGGGGAAAGTTGTCTTAAGTCAAAGGTTTTGTTTGCCAGCGACAGCAAGGCCTTCTACACCAAAGGGGAAGCTGTTTACCGCAAAGGCACAGGGGGAACACAGAACCCAGGCAGGTTTGGTCCTGTCCCCCTGGGATCAGCAGAAGCCAGCGGGTCTTCTTGCTGGGCCACGTGGTGTTCTGTCCCCTGACTTCCCAGGCCACTCTCTCTCCCAGCCTCTGAGCTCGTATCGCACCTGCCGCTGGCCCCCGCAGGCTCCTCGCCACACTTTCAAATACTTGGAAAATGAACAGCCTGCCAAACCTGGGGTGGACACCCATCCCTGTCCAGTGCACTCAGAGCAGGGGACAAGGCCCCACCTGAGGCTGATGCAGCGGGAGAGGACAGCCCAGCTCTGGAAGACATCAATCACAGTTTGTCACCTCTTTTCCTCCCTCTTGTGGAGTTAAATGGTCGTCAGAGACGCCTCCTCCTGTGGTTCCAACGCCCTCATACCCCCTCCCCCATCACAGGGTATTTTCCTACAGATAACAAACATGTCTCCTCTCTCACAAGACAACACCAATTCCCCACTTCTGTCCTCCAGCCAACCCGGTCTCCCAGGTTTCTGCACTGGCTTCCTTAGATCCCCTCTGTGCATACAACAGTTAAAAAGTTCTAGGGTGTTCCTGACCAAGCCCCTCCCCTTACCACGGCCCCTCTCTCACAGACAATAACGTCCAACTGTCCTAACAGACTCGAGGCTGTGATTCGGATGTAGCTTGCTGCCCCTCCCCCCATTTGTGGTCCTCAGTCCTGGTGATATTGAGGTGACCTTTAAGATAAGAGGTCAAGGGGAGGTTCTTAGATCAGGGGGGGGGCTGGGGGGGGGGGGGGGGGGGGAGGGAGGTTAGGTAGCTCTGGTGAGCTAGTTGTAGGCTCTCTGGCTCCCTGTCTGGCAACATGGTCTCTTCCTTGCACACATTCTTCAGGTCCTTCTCAGAGCCTGGCATCATGCCCTTTCCTTGACTCTCCACATTCTGTTAAAGGATAAACAGCATTTTGTTAGCGGAAAGTGGACGTCAGCAGTTGGCAACAATTTCCTGTCCACACCACATGGGATAGATTTCTACATCTTGATGGCTTTGGTTTTGAGTGGAACAGGGTCCTACTGTGTAGCCATGGCTGTCCTGGAACTTGCTATGTAGACCAGGCTGGCCGAGAACTCACAGGGACCTTCACTGGGATCAGAGGCACATCGGCACATCTGGCATACCTCAATTCATTCTTCAAAGACTTATTTATTTATTTAGTTATTTATTTATTTATTTGGTTGTTTGTTTTATACAGTGTTCTGCCTCCCTATGTGCCTGCACACCAGAAGAAGGTGCCAGATCTCCCTATAGATGGTTGTGAGCCACCATGTAGTTGGTGAGAATTGAACTCAGGACCTCTGGAAGAGCAGCCAGTGCTCTTAACCTCTGGGCCATCTCTCCAGCTCAATTCTTTGTCTTTTTGGTTGCTTCTCCATCCACTATGGTAGAGGAGGAGACGGGGATGCTTTGCTGACGTGCTATTTTTTTTTTTTTAATTTATTTATTTATACAGTCTTCTGCCTGCATGTGTGTTCATGTGCACCAGCAGAGGGCGCCAGATCTCATTATAGATGGTTGTGAGCCACCATGTGGTTGCTGGGAATTGAACTCAGGACCTTTGGAAGAGCAGCCGGTGCTCTTAACCTCTGAGCCATCTCTCCAGCTCTAGGTGCTGTTTTTTTAAATTCTATTTTGTTTTGGTTCCTTATGCCCCTTTCTCGCTTTACCACCCCAGTCCCTTCCAACACCCCAACATCAGGTAAGAGACTAAGAAGGTTAATGAGGAGAGTTCTCTTTAGCTACTTCCTGCTGGTTAGGGTTGTCTGGTTCCTTGGGCAAGTCCAATCCTCGTTTCAGGAGATCTCCAACTTCTTCTCATCAAACTGCATCAACAGCAACAGGAGCAGCAGAGGAGAGCAGAGCCTTGTCCTCCCCACCCCTCCCCGGGGCTCTGGCATTTATTCCCTTTCCAGAGTTCTCAGAATTAAACTGCCTGCAGCTGGCAAGGACCACGTCCCTCTCCAAGCCTCACAGACAGGTAGTCTGCTGCTGTGGGGAATCTGGAGCAGCCTTTATACCCCTCGCCCAGGATTAAAGCAAAAACATGTTTACATAGCATCACCGAGAACCAAACCTCCCATTGTCGGGGATCGCACATGCCCACTTCCAACACCTCCCCTACTTTCATCGGTTTTCCGAGACTCTGGCTGGCTCAGCATTGCCCGCGCAAGGTAGGCCGTGGGAGCAGCCGGCTCTCCTTCCCTAGACAGCTTCCTGTTTTCCCTGGGGACTCAGTTCATTTTCTTTTTGCTTGATTTTGGTTATACCTGTTATCAGCCGATTAACAGTCAGACACATCAGGCGTCCTCCCGACTTTTGCCCAGGTAGAAACCTCCCAGGCGTGTGTACATCTGCTTTTACTAACTAGTGACATAGTGACACAGCCGTCCCCTCCCTTCGGCATCCTGTCAGGATGCACCTGTCGCCGTGGGGGATCTCTCGGTTCTTGTTCCCCGGCCACCGCCCTTCTACGGTCTGGTGCCTTAATCTATTGCTGACTTCAGAGAGCCGCCTGCAAAGGAGGCCAGCTTTATGCAATGTGGGCAGAGGGACACGGTCTCGTCCCACTCTGGCCAAGGTTGGAAATAATTCCCATGAGAACGTCCAGGGAATGTCTCTTAGATCGCTCAGCTTCCAGATGAAAAGCCTAAAGACACTCAGAACAGTCCTGAAACTCCTGTAAGTCTAGGTAAACACTTTCCCCGTCCTCCTTTTTCACAGTCGCACAGGTGGTGAAGATCCTTCTCAAACTGTGACAGCTTTAACCTTGTCTCTAGAAACTCCCCAGCCCCCCAAAATACTCACTGCTTAAGTCACAACTTTCACGTGTGTGTTTGACTTTGCATAAGTAAGTTCCTCTTGTATGCCAGACTTACCTTCTGCCAAGATCCTGCCTGCCCGTCCCCAGGCCCAGCTTAAACTTCAGTTCTGTGAAGCCTGTCCCCACCCCTGGTTCTGGCTCTCACTGTGGTGTGTCTGTGTGTGCCTGCCTTTCACACTGCTAGAACGTCGCCTTGTGTCACACGCCTAAGTTCATGGGAAGATCAAGGACAAGTGTTATTCGGCTTCATCGTCCCCCGCCCTCCCCTCCCTCGCAAGCACCCCCACTTTATGCAGGAAGAAAGTACCATTCATTTACTGAGCTTGCCAGAGGTCAGACGTCGGGCGTGGCTGGGACTCTGTGGGATGCTAGACCCTGCATTCTTTCCCTGCGTCGCTGCTGCCCAAAGCAAATGGATTCGCCACGATCTCCTCGGGGCAGACAGCAGCCGTGCTGGCAAAGCCCAAGACGGTTACCCCTTCGAAAACATGACTTCTGTGGGCAGAGTCAGCACGAATGGACAGGAGGAAATGGGGTGATGCTGGAAAGTGGCAGCTTCCGGGGTTACTGAGGAGATCTGGACGGTCTCATCCATGTTGCTCCCTTGTCAGAATTTTTTCTTAGAATATTCTGCAAATCCCACGCCTCCCTTCACCACGCTCAGGACACTGCTTCCAGCAGTCTGGGATTTGGCTCCATCTTGTGGTTTGAGATAACCTTATATGCATGCTGACTTCCTCCAAACAGGCATAAGCCTTGTCTAGGAGATACGTCTCAGCC